ATGGCTGGGGGCCGGGGCCTGCGCCTTCCCTCGGAAAAACTTGGGATTTCTACTGAAACCTCTCATTTTACTGCTTTGGGGGAACGTAGTGCACACTTCCTAAGGTTTTTTTTAATATATTTTAAAGTAGTTGCATGTAGTAAGCTAACGAAAGGAGGTTGTAGAGAGGTGGGGGTCGGTCTCCTCTCCCAAGGAACAGGCCATGGGACAAGAGGAAACGGCCTCAAGTTGCACCAAGGGAGGTTCAGATTGGAGATTAGGAAAAATTTGGACACTGAAAGGGTTATTAAGCCTTGGAATGGGCATCCCAGGGAAGTGGCTGAGGCACCATCCCTGGAGGTATTTAAAAGCCGGGTTGACCTAGTGCTTAGAGACATGGGTTAGTGATGGATTTTTATCAGAGGTAGGTTGATGGTTTGACTCGATGATCTTAAAGGTCCCTTCCAACCTAGACAATTCTACGATTCTAAAATTATAATAATAATTCAACTAAAAGCAGTTACCTTGACAATTCTAACTCTTCAATAGCTGCAGAAGATCCAAAAGGAAAAAGTCAACTTGCAGAATGAGTTGGCCGACTTGGAGGAGCGCACAGAAGCGATGAACTCTCATTTCAAGAACGTCAGACAGGAGTTCAGCTTCACACAGGTAAATTGCTGCCTGGAGCAGATCCGTTGGACCAGACAGACCTTTCTGCAGCTGGTGTCCCCTGGGTATTTTGCCAGCTTCGTTATAGATTTGTCAGGACTTTATCCCAGCACTTCCACAGGAAACAAAAGTTTAACTATATCTCTCAGTGAAGTTATGCGACGGTTGTTGAAAAGACCATCCACAATCAAATGACTGTACCTAGAAGAAAGCCAAGAAGGATACATTTTATAATTCATTATTATTGGAGACTTTTCTAGGTGCTAAGAAAAACTCAATCAAGGAAAATAAAACATCAGTGTAAGGGGAAAAATAAATTTATAATCTTTAAAAAGTCAAGAGTTAATTGTGAAATGCTAGTGAAGAGTTAAATCATGGACACGAAAAATGAAACAAGATGGTTAAGGTGCAAGTCTTCACTTACACTCTAATTGGTCAAAAAGAGGTTTAGATTTCTGAAGAGTCCCAAGGCAAAGCTGCACACCTTTCAAGTTTCACTCCTAGGTGAAGAAGTCTTAAGAAACTTCCCTAACTTCCCTGCATAAACTTTTAAAATTTTTTTAATTTCTCACAAAGAAACTTTTTAATTATTTTTGTGCTAGAATCAAGTTTTAATCTGCACATAGAGACAGCACATACTAGTCTCTAAGAGAAGCTTCTAGTAAGTAATAAATAATAACAAATAGATTTGATATTATACAAGGAAGAAACCCCCTGTTTAATCATTTTTGTCAGACAGATTAGACAATATAGAGATACTGCTCTAGGCCAGCCTGGTGATGGTCTCTGTCTCTGCACAAAACAATCAAGTTATTTTTCTGTGCCTCCTGAATCTGACATAAAGCCACTGGTAATCAAGACTAAGGTTTTTGAGAGATTAAGATTGTGAATCTTGGGTGAAATACCTTTGAACTGAGTTTTCAGGGCTATGAATGGTCGATCTGTGGATATTGTATACAATACAATGTATTATATACAATGCAATTTATATTGGAATATATATATATTTGAGATATTAAAATCCACCAATAAAGATGCTCTGGAAATTCCTATCTTTACATGACAAAATCATACCATCTCTCTGATTTGGGATTTGGTTGTAGTTTAAAAAAGTTTTTTGTTGATATATGCCTCTTGTTTATTGTAAACTGTTTTTGTTGATATATACCTCTTGTTTATTGTAAACTGTGTATTGTAAACATTGTAAAATGCTGACCTGTATTATTCTGTAGTCTCTTTACAAAGCCAGAGAGAATGAAATTGAAACTGAACAACATTTTAAAGCCCTTGCTGAGAGAGAACGTGGACGTTTCAAAAGTGACATTAAACGACTGGAAGATGAGTTTGTTTCCTTAAGAGAAAAGAAAAGCAGTCAAGAAGTAAGGTTTAAAATTTTTGTCAGCGAACACCTGTGTTGCAGTTAAATTTTATGACTTGTCCTCACTTGAATTTACAGAAATAACAGTATAAGTTAAGAATAGCTAATTATAATTTAAATCTTATAAAGTATCTGGATGTACTTTTCCATGTGTAGGCAAGCAGGTAGAGTGACACTGAGGATCTCCTTGCATAGACTGGTCAAGACTTAGCAAATATTAACTAGATATTGAAAGACTACAATTCTTCGTGTTCTCAGTGCCAGATACACACCATGCATCCAGATCACCATCTTGTTTTCTTTCTGGTTTAAAAATTAAATTGTTGGTGGCAAATCTTCTTCCCCATAAAATAAGCTTGGGGCATGATTTCAAGCTCAAAAATTTGCTTTACATTAAACAAAGTAATCTAGTGCTATCTAATTACAGGTGTTTTTCTGTTTAATGGAACTGTCTTTTTCTTTCTACGAATAATTTAAATTACCCTGTGATGCCTCAGATCAGTTTATTATGTGGAATAAATATCCCACATATAGGTCTATCTCGCCAGAGGTTGACTTTTCTGATTAAAATGATTTGCATTTTAAGTTTGTGGTAACTTAAGGTCTTGTTTCTTTTTTAAAACTGGGCCATGTATTAGCATTCCTTAAGTATAATGCACAATTACCAATAAAGAAAACTAGCAATGCTGCTGACAGCAAGATGTACGTAAACTCGTTACAGTAGCTTGAACTGGTTGTTTCAGTTACTATTAAAAATAACATATTAGACATTTGATATTAACCCTTTGATTTATCTCTAATTTTATTAGAATACTACAAATAAAACCACTAAGAAGCTGGAAGCCTTAAAACAACAGTTGAACTGTGATGAAGAACTTCTGGAGAGCTGGATTAAGGAAATGGATCGTAAAGATAACGACACTATGACAATCCAGAAGTATGCACAACAAGATGAAGGGAAACTAGGAGTAAGTAGAAATGACAGCAGTTTTCAGTACACGTTTATCCATGGTGGAGGTTACTTTGTCTGAGCTCTAGTCTGGCCCCAAGGGCTGACAAAAGATTATGGTCTTGCATGAAAAAAACTTTAGGAGGCTAGATTTTCAGGGCCTTTTTTTCCTTTTTTCTCTAAAACACAACAAAATTGATACCTCAGTAATTTCACCCCTAATTGAAATTGCTAACTTATAAATTCTTAAAGACCTTCCTTTTTTGTCTAAAACACAATAAAATTGATGCCTTAGTAATTTCACCCCTAACTGAAATTGCTAACTTATAAATTCTTAAAGACATTACATATTTGCTTTCAAATACATTATATTTTCATATCCTTTCATTGTAGGCATTAACCCTTCAAGTAGAAAAGTTGACCGTGCAAGCAAATCAGAAGTGCAGAGCTCTTGACAATGAGCTTACAGAAACCATAACAGCTCAGGTTTGTGCTAAAGGTTCTTGGAGATACCGTGTTATACGTCAAATTTTTAAAATCAGAAGTCACGGGGGTGCTTTCTTTCAAACAGATAGAGCTTGACAAGACGGCTGAGGATTTTCGCAGAGTTCACCAGGAGAGGCAAGAAGTCATCAGGCAGTGGGAGAACGCGATACAGCAGATGCAGAAGAGAGATGAACAGATCGATCACTGCGCACTGGTAAAGCTGCTGTACCTGACCCACCTCAGCATCTCAGCCTACTTCTGTATCGATGAGATTGATAAAAGTTTTACCAGTTGCACATAAAACGATTGGGTCTTTTAAATCTTCAGTGTTCTCTGTGTTTACCCCTGTATCTTATTAAGGTGTTTGAAAGGTCAGATTACCATTACAACCAGAAACCATTACAAAAATGGTTTCAGAATTTATTTTGCAAGCAGTATCTCTCAGTGTACTGGTGCTCTGCTTGGTACTATGCGAGGTTTAATTTTCAATCTCAGGTTATTGGAAAAGGCAAAGCATGCCCGTTTCAGTGTTTCCTTTTCTGTGATTGAAGCATCCAAGAAGCAACAAAATGGGGTGTTGTTTTGTAGAGTGTAAGGACAGTCAACTGCAATGGAGTGATTCTGTGTCGGGGATGAAATATAAAAAAGAAGATTTATTACTGAAGGAATTAGCATTGCTGCCTCTGTGAACAATGAATGACTAACATTTATGTCAGAATTGTGATAAGTACTCACAGTAAGGTTAAAAACTGGTCCTTAGCTGCAAGGGTGTGATTCTGTGTCAGGGATGAAATATAAAAAAGAAGATTTATTACTGAAGGAATTTGCATTGCTGCCTCTGTGAAGAATGAATGACTAACATTTATGACAGAATTCTGATAAATACTCACAGTAAGGTTAAAAACTGGTCCTTAAGTACATTCTGCAAATGGAGAGAAGCAACAGCACTGTAGTAATCCAAAGAAGATCACGTACAGATCCAAAAAAGAGTCTCCATTTGTCTTGTCAGTATCTTATGCACAGATGGTCCAGTGGCGAGAGGTACAAATAGATTTTGTCCTGACTTTGTCAGGAGAAGGGTGAACTCCTCAAAGATCTGCAGGGCAACAGAACTGATGCACCAGAAAAAGCCTGCAGGGTCAGCATAGAGAGAAATTTTATAAATGTGGATTACAATGTAACAATGGCTTTTTTTGAAGGGGGAGAAAAAGCATAATTGCATGTACGAGAAAGTTTTACCTAAATCCTTACCTCTGCTACTGTGATGTTTTCCTGCTGAAAGAGCAGCAGCTGTGTTACGTTGCCCATGTAGGTATTAGGTGTTTTCTGAGCAGAAACAGGGTTTAAACAGACTTAAGATACAGCACTAAAAAAAAAGTAATAACAGAAAATGACAAGCCCGAAGAAATACTAGCAAATAGAAAATATAATGGTCTAGTTTAGCTGTAATATTTTAGATTTCATAGTATTTTAGGTCAGAAGATTCCTGCAAAAATTTTCCATATATTAGTAGTTCATAGAATAGTCCCACTGATGTAATCTGTTTTGTAAATAACATTTTTTTTACATTAGAACTATGGTATCATTTTCCCTGTAGCTATTTTTTTTTTTTAACCTTTCAAAATACACAATTTTCACTGAATAGCTATAAATCTATCAGGTAAAGTAAGCATCATGACTGTTGATAATTGTCCTCTTGCATTTCCTCCCATTCAAGCCTATCTGATGTTTTGTTCACTGAGCTCTCTTTTTCCCCTTATTCAATCAATCAAAAATGATTTTTATTTAAAATAATTGTATAGTTTAAAAAAAAATATGTATTTTTTAAATTATTGGAAATCTAAAATGTTTTTATCCTGATAGCTGATAGCAGAGATAAAACAGGAGATCAGAAGTTTATAGTTTTAAAAAAAATGTATTTTTTAAATTATTGGAAATCTAAAATGTTTTTATCCTGATAGCTGATAGCAGAGATAAAACAGGAGATCAGAAAGAAAGAAAATATGCTGAAAGAGAAGACTTCCTTTTTGGTAAATGAAACTCTCAATAATATGGAATATGAAAAGAAAATTTCTTCTGCGGAATGGGAAGCTTCCAGCCTGCGGAGCGAGTACCAGGCTCAGGACACGTACCGGGGGCAGCTGCAGGATGAGGTGAGGAGGAACAAACAATTCAGAAAAACAGACTGAAACTAGAACTTCTGGCTAGATGGAGGAAATACAGGAATAGCATTTCCTGCTCTCTGGTTTTAGAGCAGACTGTTAGTAATGCAACAAAACACCTGCTCTTCTCAGTCTTACTCATCGATTATTGGGGTCTGAACCCTCAACTTAATCCTTTCATTGACAGTGGTGACAAGATTAGCTTGTATTCTCTGTTGTGTTGGTATAAAATGGATCTGTGGAGAAGGGATACACTTGTATTACCTGAGTAAGTTTTCTCTTAAAAAAAGGTATCACTGGGCTACTCAGCAAGCTGGGGGATTTTAAAAAAAAAGCCCCGCATCTGCTGTTGCCTCACATTTGGATAGCTATTCTGTAGCGGGTGGTTTATAAACTGATACCCTAATTAAACTGCAGGTACTCTTAACAAGAAAATGGTATCACTGGGCTACTCAGCAAGCTGGGGGATTTTAAAAAAAAAGCCCCGCATCTGCTGTTGCCTCACATTTGGATAGCTTTTCTGTAGCGGGTGGTTTATAAGCTGATACCCTAATTAAACTGCAGGTAGCTCAAACAAGGTGTAGGCTATTATGTTACCCTATAATTCATGCAAATTTGAGGGTTCACAGAATTGCTAAATTTTAATCTCTAAGCTGAGAGATCCTTGCTTGACACTTTCCACAATTAATACTATGTAAGGTGATAACGAGAAGAGCCTCCCGTTATTAGGTGTTAGAACATCAGTGAGAAACAAGGCAAGAAACAGACTTTACAGGGTTACAGCTGACAATTTGTGACCTCCCAGTTTCTCATTCTGATACAGAGAGACCTGCTGTATAAACACTCCATCGGGTTTCTTCGACAGTGAAAGTGAAGACAATTACACTTACACTGTTAAGTGATACTGTGAAGACTAATGAGCTACTGATTGTATTCCTATCCTGTTTAATGAGTATATGCTGTCAGGCATTTTTTACCAAATTAAATGTCTGTGTATTTTTGTCACTGTGTTCCCTTGTCTTAATCAAGTAATTTGATGTGCCCAATAAAGTTTGAATTAGAAATATTCAGTAGATACACAAGGGTATCCATGTTCACAGAGAACCTCATCAAAGTCAGATGTGCTCTGTAAAACCATGAATTAAAAAACCAAGAATTACAGCCCACAGCACATTCCTAATTCATTCATTCATTTTGCCCCAGTATTCAGATTATGTAAATTAATCTACCAAGAATTACAGCCCATAGCACATTCCTAATTCATTCTCTAATCTTAAGTATTTTGCCCCAGTATTCAGATTATGTAAATTAATCTGTTGAGTTTATTAGCTGTGCCAATTCACAGTACCTCAGGATTTGCAGCACTTCTCACTTGGAAAACACTGTTAAAAAGAAATAGAATACTTTCCCATAAATAGGTACCTTACAATTTTAAATATCATAATACGTACCAAAGACAACCTTGATTGCTCTGTTGTGTAATTTATTAGCTGGATGCTTTGAAATCCACTGTGGACAGAAACGCTTCTGATCTAGAGTCTTTGAGAACACAAGTAGCCAATCTGAAGAAAGAAATTCAGAAAAAACAAGCCTGGTAAGAACACATTTTAAAATAATATTAGTAAGTATTAGTGATATAATCAAATTCTTGAGCTGGCAGAGAACTTTAGATAATGTAAATGATTAAAGCCTCCAACTTTCTGGTTACTTTATGACCTGGACAGTGTGTGGCACTGGGCAATTTAGAAATTACTCCTCATAATCCCTGTTTTTAAAAGGTGTGGAAAAAATCACTGAGGGCTTTGGTTATCATAGGCTGGAGTTTAGCTGCTTTATTAGGCAACTGCTCTGCAAGGTATGCTGCTTGCTTTTGGCAGCGTTGTGTATACAACGGACATTTAATTTCTTAATTGATGTAATTTTGTTTAGGTTAAGCTTTCTTAATGAAAAGAATGCAAGTCTCTCCAATAAGCTGAAGCTTGTGACGGAGGAGACGCTCAGTTCAGAAGACAAAGCTTTGAGGATGGAAGAAATACTGAAGGAAGAAGAAAAAGCTGTCAAGGTAAAATGTTTTTCGTGGTTTCTGCACATGAATGGAAAATAAGTATTAATATGACATGTAGCTATTTCATCAAACAATGAAGTTATGTGCGTGTAGGTATGGCAGTGTCCGTGGTGAGAAAACTCTGGAGGAAAACAAGTGGCCCCATTAATTCAGACAATGGTGTCCCCGTATATTAACACTACACAAAGAGTAGTGTTCCCATAAAAGAAAAAAAAAAAGTTCATATAATAGTAGGGTAGGATCCAAGTATAAAAAAATAATTAAAAAATTACGTTTTCTTTACGTCAAAGACTTTTCTTGCCAACCATTTTGAAGACGTATGAAATTCTGTGTTCACATTAATGGATACAGTATTGAATTTTTTTAATCTTCCTATATGTGATTAATAAAGGCAAATAATTCCTCAGAAAATACTTACGTGATTAATTATTTCTGACTACTTAATGCTTAATTTGTCACCAGGAAAAAGAAACAGAAATGACCCAGTTAAAAGAACTACTTCTCAGGAAGACTCAGGAGTTAAAGGAGCAGAAGGATAAGGAGACGTGTGTTCTGGCGGAAACTGAGGGAAGTCAAAAATCACTTGAAAATCTTAAGAGTCGACTGCAGCGACTGGATGCAGAGGCATTGAAACAACAAGAATTCATATATAACCAGGTGAAATGTTAATGTACTTGCACAATATGATTGTCTTGTGGGATCTTATGAGAGTAAATTGCTTGAGTTCTGTAATCTTTGTCAACTTCTTGCCGTTTTGGGGAATGCCATGCAGTATAATTTGAGGTCTGCATTTATTTTTCTTTCTAGATGTATGGATAAAATGGAAACAACTGAAACTTTCTATGGTGTTACCTACATTATGCACTTTTGTATTTCGTTATTTTTTGGATCTGCTGCTTTTCCCACTAATTTCTCAAATCAGTTCTTTACTTGGACCCCTCTGAACCAAACACCTCAGGGGGAAATTTTAAAGCAATACAAGAGGTACATGCCAAAATCCCGTTATTTACTAATTGGATTTCGTGCATATTTCTTATGCACCACTTTGAAAATTTGCTCTTTTATATCAGCATCTGCTGGGAACAGCAAATGGCAGCTCCTCTGTGAGCCTCCCCACAGCAGACTCTGCTGAGCGCTATGGGGCTCTTCTAGCAGATTACTCCTGAGCCATCACTGCTCATCAGTCATCTACAAATGTTTTGTTAATGAGGTCTATAAGCCATAAATCATTATAAAACAGTAGTTTAATTTGGTGCCTGTCCTAATGCCAATGTTTAAATAGAAGTTTATTTAGATCCAGTGTTTTAGCTTTACAGGAAGGTTATAATTGCTTATCTCAGACTATTAATTCTCTTAAAAAATATTTTAACAGGATTTTTGTATTCAGCAAGTACAGAGACGGCTGTCACGATTAGAAGGAGAGATTAATGCAGATGAAAAACAAGTTTTGGAAGCAAAAATTGCTGAACTTAAGAAAAACTTAGAAGAAAAGAAAAATGTGTATGATGTTTTACATGCACAGCACAAGAAACTTCAGGTAACTGCCTTAGAACATCGGGTTGACTGTGTAACGTCTAGAAACCTCAGGGAATTGAGTAGATTGGATCTTATTAATAACTTATTAGATTAAAAGACACCTGAACTTTGTGTAACCTGTGTGGAAAACTTTCTATGTTCCCTGGATCTTCCAGAAAAAATAAGTGATTCTTGCATAACTGAGGCACTTCAGCAGGAAAACCAGCATCGAAATGTTGGATGGTTGGAGCTCTATCTCCACCTTTCTTGGAGATATGAACCAGTCAGTTATTCTGTAGCCAATGTATAAATTTCTTTTTTACAAGAAATGTATTTGCTTATTAATCGGCTACATTTTAGCAAGTTTTGAAACCTCTTTTCAAAGAGTTTCTTTTTTACAAGAAGTTTAGCAAGTTTTGAAACCTCTTTTCAAAGAGACACCATACAAGGACAAAAGTCCGGTTTTAATAAAACATCACTGCTGGTTTCTCAAAGTGACAGTTAAGACAAAATTTGATCAATTTAGCCCTTTAAGTGGAGATCCACACAATAACAAGGCTTAATGTCGGGCAACTGGTGCCTGTGCTTCAGATTTAAGGAGATGCAAATTTTGAGCAGTGAGTCTAATCGAACATTGAAACCCATGAACTATGAGTATCAAAGTCATGGTCAGACACGCCAGATTTTTTTTATCTAGACAAAAATGCATGATTATATTAGAAGTGCCTTATTGGCTGAAAGGTCTGTATTGTATAACTAGCAATTAGTCCACTCAGCTAAAGCAAGCACTGCCATGAATAGCGCGGCAGCGCTCTGCGTGAGGGCTGCAAGGCTCTGGGCACTGTTTGCACAGCAGCACACAGACACAACATGATGACAGTTCCTGGCTCCAGGAATTAAAAACATCTCACTTAAAATTTAACTGGTGGCTTCTGGTGCACACTACACTCACTGAAATAAATAAAACATACCTTACTTTGGAAACAGAATGATGTCCATTTCATCAAGAGAGTGATGGATAAGACAGGAGAAGAAACCAGCGGTATCGTGATCACAATCGATGAACTAAATCTTGTCAATGAGAGATCAGATCAGGAGTTAAAAAAGGCTAAAGCCATGAAGCAGGTACAGTATTATTGTGCAACTTTACTAATATAGGACATGGATGTTTGGTTTTTAAAACACAAACTCATGGGTTGATCTGAAGCCTGTTGTGCTGCATCATTATATCCGTAAGAACCCCCTTTGTAGTTTCATGACTTAAACCTTCCTACCCAGGCTTTGAAGTCACTTCCATCACCACTGTCTTCCTGGGCAAAGCGTTGCATCTCCTGTGGCTGCCACATAAAATTCCTTGCATTATCAGTTTCATCAACCATTACTTGTACCACAATATCCACTTAGTGTGGTTTTTTCTAAGAAATAATTGTCTTTAAAATAGAAAATGTCTTTACTATTCAAGGACATCTTTAACTAGCACTGACTTTTTTATTCTGAATCTGTGATGCCGACTACTAAGTTTGGCATGGTTTTGTTATGAAATTGTAGGACTTTTCCAGCAGATGGTTTGGATCTACATCCTAATTTAAGGTATTAGAGAGAAAATGCAAGTCTTTCTCCTCATATTTTTATAAACAGAAAAAAACAGTTCCCAGTCCTCTAATTACAACATGTTTTTTCCTACAATAATCTCTGGCCGGAGATAGTGCAGGCTTTATAAAAAACCTATTAACTGTTATAAATATCTTAATTAAAAATGATGCTTTCTTATTTTGAGACTTTTTTGGCATTTATCAGGAGCTGATGGTCGAAGATAATCTCTGGAAACTAGAATTGAACCGTCTTCGAGACACTCTGTGCAATAAGACGGAGAAAGTTCTAACACTGGAAACACAAAAACTGGAGTTAAAGGAAGCCATAGCAGAAAGAAGGGAGGAGATCCAGGTTCATAAAGCGATGCTGGAGTCCCAGCTCAGACTCGTGGAGGAGGAGCGGCAGCGCCTGAGGTAACGACTCTTACAGAAATTAAAGCTCGTAACTTTCGCTGAGTCTGTTTTACATGGGGACTTACTGAAAAGAGAGAAGCATTTACCCAGTTTCACCAGTTAGAGAAGTTGAGGATGAAGTAAGTCTTGCCCAAACTTATACAGTGAGATAGTTAAGGTGAGCAAAAGATCCTGCTTCTGAAATCCAGCCTGTGGCTGTGACAACTGGTGAACATGAGATGAGTTTATTCTGTTAGCAACAATCCTCCACAGCACTGAGAGGAACCCTCAGCTGCAGACATCTTTTGTAAAGTAAGTATCATGTGCATTTTTCAAAATAATCAGGAATCAGTGCGTCTGGAGGTGTGACAAAATATTTAGAACAGAAAGGTTCTAAAAAGGTTGCTTTTAAAAAGGGTTTACTCCCAACTGCTTGATAAAACTGGTTTCTTTGACTCATATAGTAAGTCTCTTTTGGTTTGGGTTTTAACATTTTTAACATATGAGCTCTCAATTGTGTGTCCTATAGAACAAAATTAAATCTCCTGGATTATGCCTGTACCCTCTGACAAAGCAGCCATACCTGAAATAACTTTTCCCTTCTGTAATAATCAGTGCAAAGTACCTGGGACAGTTTTTGCTCTGAAATCTCAGTCTCTATTATCCAGCCCCAAATCCCCGCTGCAGCAGCTGAACCGCTGAAATCTGGCAGGGTTTTTATTCACTCCTCTGAACACACCCCCCGCAACAGGAAATTAGAGTGATTTAGTGTGACTAAACCTTAACTGCTCACCGAGAGTGCAGACTGTGGGGCTTTTTTCCTTTGCTAATTACACAGCTAATTGATACTTCCATGTAATTTGATTTGGGGTTGTTGCCTACTGTTGCTTTCGCTCAGGCAGCGGTGGCAATATTAAGATAATATCAGCAGGGGGCAGCTCGTGCAGCTGCAGGATTTCGATGCCAAACCTTTAAAAAAATTTGGGGCAGGGCTGTGGCCCAGGGATCTGGAATATGAAAATAAATTTGCTGCAGTTTAGAACTGCAAGAGAAGCAGAGGTCACCAAAAGAACAGGAGAACAGAGAAAGCACCAAAACCCAGCAGCAGCAGAGCTGCTGGCCCTCCTGCTCCCAGTACACACACAGACTGCCAGAACAACACTGGTAATTTAAAGTGCTGTAGCAAGAGCTGCCCCCAAAACGCTGCCACACAAACCCTCTCTCAACCTGTTTATTTTTTTCTCCCAAATAAATCAGTGCCGAATTTCAAGATCGCCTAAATGAAATCGAGAACCTGAGATGCAGATATGAAATTCTTAATATTGCCATGATGCCACCTGAAGGAGAAGAGGAGAAAACTCAAGCCTACTACATAATTAAGGTATTTTATTATCATAATTCATTATAATGCAGAATATTTAAGCTCTAGATTTCCCTGGGCTCTACTGAAGTAACTGACACAACCTCCTTGTCTGCTGCTCACTGTCAGTCTAAACCTGACACTGTTGTTATTCCAATGCTACAGCAATTTCCTGCCAATCACTGAGATCAGCCCTCACCTCAGCGGAGCCTTATTTTTGAGCAGTTTGAAAGTTTTCACTTTGGTGCTCATTAATTTACAAAGACACAAGAAGTCGTGGGGTAACTGCTATAAACTGGCAACAAGATTATTGCAGTCTCACATGAACTTAAATTCTTTTACCCTTCAGAGTTAATTTTAGGTATTTATTTCACCATATGGTGTTTAAACCTTGAAAAATGTCAACTTTCCTCTGCGTATTTCAGCGTTTTTATGGAGAAAATCAAAATCAATCTTTATGCATAACGCAACACCTTGATTCTGGAACAAAACCCTATTATTTTTGATCTCCACAAATTCTGCGATTTCCTCTTAAAGCAAAACACTTCTAGCTAGGGTCTTGGCCATGGAGTCCATCTTTTTCCTCGTTCTGTTAAAAGACCCTCAGTGAAGCCCTCGTGGTGACTGGGGGTGTGTGTACACACCCTCCACGACTGCAGAGACCTTCCACCAGCTCAGATTTTCTAAGGGACCGCAGAAAACACTTCCCTTCACCAGCTGGCTCGGTTCCTTAAATCTCACTGATCAGATGAAAGGAAACTTGCAAGTTGAGGAATTTCCAGGCAAACTGAATGGTTTCTAACGCTCTCAGTAGTTTTATATGACGTACAGCCTCAGCTCTTCCTTGGGTGGTGTGGGTGCAGGCAGACGTGCAGCAGGGGCTGCAGTCCCCAGCAGCAGCACAACGCCAGCAAGTTTTCTTTTTCAGGCAGCACAGGAAGAGGAAGAGCTTCAGCGTGAAGGGGATGATTTAGATGCAGAGATCTGCAAAGCTGAAAAGGAAACTGCAGCTCTGGAAAACACTTTGTGTGTGCTCAATAACTGCAACAGCAATTATCGCAACTCTTTCAAGGAAGTCACTGAGACAAGTATGTAAAATAGAAATGGCTATTTGCTGTATAGATAACTCGGGTGTGTAGTAGGGAAATTCCATGGCAAAAAAGGAGGGGGGGAAAGTACTAAGTTCTTATCTGGGAAAATGAGGAGGAAGAGTAAAACTTAAACCACACTGTTTTAGTGTAGCGTTAACAGATTTTAAAATAGGGACTACCTACCTCTGAGCTTTTGGGGGTTGGAAATTCTGGACAGTATCTTCATCTCTTGTTTTCGCTGCCACTTATGACTTCGTAAGCTTGCTCTCCTTCAGGGGAGCTTTCTTTGTTTAGAGCATAAAAAGCATCACCATGAGAAATTACAAAACCTTAATTCTAGAAAACACTTGATTATTTACCTTTTGTGCCCTCTGCTGGCTCTGGACACAGTAGCTCTTAAATCATTCTCTCTCATGAAGCCCGTTAGCTTTTCACAGTGATTTGGAATTAGTAGAAGAGCATTTAAAAAACCATAATAAAAAACCATAATACAGAAATACTCTGTGATGCAGTTAAAGTGCAACTTATTTTAAAGTGAACCTTGCATTGCATACACTGCTTGTCCAGCACTAATGCTGCCTCATCCTTTGGGATCACAGCTGAGGAATACGAGGAGAAATTGAAACTGGATGAGGAGAAAAAGGCTGTTGATGAAAAATACAGATACAAACGAAGACAGATCAAGGAACTTCAGGAAAATCTCCAGGTAAAATACAAGCAAAAGTTTTGGTCAAACAGACCAGGACTTACTCTTGGTTCCTCTTGTTATCAAAAAGTCCATTTGGTCCCTAAGACAGAACAACACTTAAGTCTGATGTGGGACATTTTAGGTAAAATTTTCATAGGCAAAAGAAATCAAAGGCACCTGGTTACATCCCACCTGATTATTCTCACCCTGAGTCATGGGCTACAGGTCAAACATTCCTATTGCTTATTCTGCCACCGTGGGACACAGACCTTACTTAAGAAACAGCATCTCTGAAATTATGCAACTGACTTGTATTTATCCACTAAACACTCTGACAAGCAGGAGTTTGTTGTTGCTTTAGTACGAATGGCTGGAGCTACATTTAGCAACAAGGAGCAGCTGTACCAGACCCTCCCAGAGTTACACACAAAGTGCAAGGGTGTCGGAACCACTTCATAAACTAAAACTGCTCCTCAAATGACTTTGCAGAGCATGGAAAAAAGTCTTGATACGGTGCTGAAGCAGGAGGCTCTCTTCCAAGAGCAAAACAAGGAAGAACAAGCTCTTATTTTGCAGCTGAACAAAGACACAGAAGAACAGGAGCCCAAACTCGAACGGGTGATAAAACAGGTCTGTATATTCATTAATGAAAACTTCTGATTGCACAGAGATAGACGGTAGTATGACTAAAACCACACAACTTAAACCTAGCAGGTTTGTGAAAAAGTGCTATATTTTCATAATAGCAAAGCTTTAAAAAGATTTGTGTTAAAAGTGTTCCAGATTATCCAGAGAAATCCAGTCTCTGAAGAAAACGGAGACACAGGAAGAACGAGACATTGATCTTCAGGAACTGAAAAGCTTCAGCAGAACCATGGACAAACTGTTAGCTGATGTTCTGGAAGAAAATCCCGATTTAACTACTCCCTTCCAAATGCACTTTCTCCAGGTGAGCTTTCCAGCTGCCACCAGAATGGGCACCCAGGGCTGCTGCCCAGTGTCCTTCAAGGGCAACTCCTAATTTCAACAATACAAAACAAGAAAAAGTGTTTCATCTGCTTTCAACAGCCCTTCAGATACAGAACATTATAAACCCTCCCGATGTACTCAGTCCTATTATACAACCATTAGATCAACTCTCTTTTTCTTTCTAAATTTTCTAGTCCGATTTAGAGCTTCCTACAATTGCTTCGTCTGCTGGTAGTCAGGGTTCTCGATCACCATCCAGACAGAGCTCACTGGCTTCTACCAGGTAAGTGCCAGAGGTGGGGTTTGGGCTTTGCTGGTAAGGGTTTGTTGGTTTTTAAAAGTTTTAAGCTTAAACCAGCAAAATTAGTCCCTAAATGACCTAATTCCTTAGTGCTGAGGGTCTTCTCAATCTCGTCTCTTACTTCCTAAACACTTTCTCCTTATATTGTCCCACCTTGTTTACTAGACTTTTCTAGCACGCAATTAAGTTTACTTCAGCATCCTAAAAAACTACAGTAATCATAGAGTAATTGCACTTATTTTTGCTAACTGTGCTGTAATTAATGGTTTCACATTATAAAAGCAGAAGTTTGAGCTCCAGCCACATTTTCCTAATTAAGCAGGGCAGCCAGATGCATGCTTTTACTGACACCTTTTCACCATATTTCCAACTCTTACTGCAGGTAACACGTTGAACATTCCCAGAGGTCACTGAAGGGGTTAGTGGCCAAGTCCAGGGAGAGCTGTGTGGGGCATCTTACCTCCAGCGGGTGGCTTTATTGTAAGCTGTGATTTACACAGGGGCATTGCTGTAGGCTGAGGAGCAAACTTGTGTCTTTCAGGTCCTCCAGGAGCACGAGCTCAGGCTCCAGCCAGACGCTGTCGCTGAGTCTCATCGAGCTGAGCCTGCCCCCCAGCACCCCCGCGGGGGAGTCACGGCCGGGCAGCGGGGCCAGCTCCTCCCGCACCTCCCCACGCACAGAACCTCTCCAGTGATCTTCTGAAGGCCACGGTTACAGCTTCACAGCAGGTAGAGCTTCTGAACTGATTAGCCTGTAACTTAATTGTCACAGTCTACTGGCAATCTTACCATTAATTTCTATCAGAAATGTATGTTTGAACTTTCTTCTAAAGTATGCAATGAATTCTCTAGGAGAGTGTTACGCGCGTGTTTTATATAATAAAATAACCCTTAAATTACTTTCTTATTTTGCTGTTGGAGAACAAGATTTGCAAAACCCTTCAGAAGCCATTAATTCACTTTTCTTATAATGAAAAAGAGAATTATGTTAAAGGTGTTAATTTCAGTAAACTGGCTTCTGGCTGCTGTCAAAGCAGTTGTAGGTTACACTGCAACGAGCCAGGCAAGAAAATGTTTCAAGATCAACCTTGCCTATTAATAAAGTAGTCATCTCGGATCGTATCTTAATTGAAATATGACAGTACCTTCAAAATCCCAGTACTTTCTGCAGCTGGCCTGCACCTATGGACTCACCTGGGGAGCTCCTTTGGGGGACTCACTGGAAAGCAGCAGCACAACCATTGCCTGCCCGCTACTTGTAGAGGTGTCTCACAACAACCACCCCAAAAAGCACTTGAACTTACCTAGACAGTAAACACTGTTTAAAACTCTCTCTTCCTCTACTTCAGTTGGGTTGGTTTTTTTAAGTTAAAGAACATTTTGGAGGCATTTTAAGAACATGATGCTCTTGCCTTCTCACTTATGCAGCACGTACAACCACTGCACCAGTACGAACAGCCCAGCGACGTGCACAAAATCCAAGACACAAAATTAAGAAAAATTAAGAAAATTTAATGAGCAAATGAGCTATATACAATGATGGCACATGACTTTCATTCAGTTATCCCCTTTCTAGAGCTGGAAGTTTAGTTTCATACAAAAATATTGAGAGTTGATAGTACCTCAGGGAACGAGAAAATCAAAGAGAGCCCATCTGTTAAAGTGCAGATCTGGTGTGAGCCCCACAACTACCTACAGGGCGGGGGCACCAAAGGATGTCACCCCATCAGACAGAGGACATTGTACAGGAACAGCCCAAGCTAAGAGCACAGGAAACTCAGATTTTAAATAACTGGTATTTTAAGTAAGATATCCGTGCATCTCTCTCCACCACACAATCTTTACCTTAAGGACTCTTTGACATTGTTCAAGCAGAACAAATTCTGCCTTTTTATCACCCTTTTATGCATTTCCTCGGGAGATGCTCAGATAAAAGTTCATTTAACTACACTCAGCAGAATAGTGTTTTCTTGGGTACTTTACTGTTTCTTCTGTTTACTTCCTTTTTCCCTCTCAAACTCAGCTATCTGGTTAAATATGTTAACTAAGTTCTGGGGCAGGTTTCTCTTAACGCCGCTCTCTGTTTGTGCTGTGCCATTTACAGACGTTTCCTCCTCTGGTTCCTTCATTTCATCACTCTCCTCAGAACTTCCCCTGCCTTTACACTCACTTTCATTTTTATCCTGACTGGGGCCAGGCCTCTCGCTGTCGTAACTTCTCTCCCCTTCCCGTGAGGAGGTGCTCGGATACGACCTGTACCTCCCCCCTGACCTGCCCCAATACTCACACCCCGCAGGAGACGTGTGATACCTGTCTTGCCCTGAGCCATACCTTCTAAACTGCTCTTTTCTCCCCTCTACGTCCCTTTCAAATTTCCTAAAATAATGCATCCTGGGTTTATCACCTGACTTATGGTACCATCCTGAAGAACCCCTCCAACTGGAGAAAAATCTGTCAGTTTTACCATATTTTTCGGTTTTGCTACTGCTCGGCAGGGTCCTGGAGCTACTGTGAGAATCTCTTGAATCTTCAGACCTACCTCCAAAAGAGTCTTCATCATCACCTGAAGTCCTCGAAAAAGAACTGCGTCTGTCTTTCCCTCTTCCCTCTGGTTTGGGGCACACTACGCTCTCCTGCCTTTCCAGCAGCTTCTCCACTTCAAAACTTTGGTTAAGGAAGGAAGCGGAGGTATCGGCCGGAGGCGAGTACCACTCCTCTTTCCTCATCTCATCTCTATAGTGGGAAGAAGCAGCTCGAGATGAGCTTTTTTTGGAGCTGCGGGCAGACTGGGATCTTTTCCGACGCTTTTTCCTACGTTTCTTGTGATCAGAGGAAGAGGAGGAAGAAGAAACTGATACATCGGATGAGGAATCACTCGATGAGGAGGAGGAGGAAGAGGAGGAGGAGGAAGAGGAGGAAGTTGATACTTTCCTTTTCTTCTTCAACCTAAAAAATGTAATTAACTGGTGAGATCATCTTCACTATCAGGCAATGTTTATATGTAGAAAGCAAATCTGTAGCCCCCTGAGCCTGGCTGAGACTGGACTGTAAGGCATGAAGGGAAACTGAGCCCGACCTGGCAAGACCATTCCAAATGTCTTCTCTTTATCAAAAAATTAGGATTAAATCCACCAAACAGCTTGTTACAAGAGGCACCTTTCCCAGTTTAATTTGGCATTGCACTTTGGAAATACTTCACATTGCAAAGTGGTTTTTAAACAACTTCTCTTCCACATAAAGCTCTGCTAAGGGTTCTGGGCACTGCAGGACACCACCCAGAGAGGAATTTGGGAGGAGAAGCAGGTTACCCAGCTCCAAGCTCTGCCTCCCTACTGCTGGGCAGTGTTTGGAAATGGGATTGGTCATGGTCTGATCTGCGCTTACTGCCACACAATCAGTGTATGGAATATAACAAAGTTACCTTTTTTCTTCTTTTAAGAGCTTACGCAATTTTTCTGCACTCGTTTCTACTTTCTTTTCTTTCTGTCTCTCTTCTTTGGCAGCTTGTTTCTCCCTCATTTCCAAAGATTTCTTTTTTGAACCCAAGCATCATAAAAAAATTACATTAGAAGTGTTAATGCAGGTATTTTTTCCCCATGTCCCCAACCCCATTCAAACGTGTAATTACACCAGGGATGTTTTACCAGGATTCCCAGATCAAGAATTAATATTGTTGAGGAGTTTGGCGTTGGCCATAGTAATAATCAGTTTTATATTAAGGACCATATTGCAGATTTTATTCCATTTAAAAATATATTTGCCCAGCCATTGCAGTGGTACCCATGACCCAGCACCCCGTGAAGCACCGAGCCCCAAAGGCATGGACAGAATATGCAAGAAAACCACAGTGTCAGCAACATGGAAAAAAAAAAAAGGGAAAAAAAAAAAAAAGAGCAAGGTTTGAGGGGAAGTATTATTGTAGTTTACATGTAAAACATGGCAGAACCCATTTAAAAATGTATTCAAGTCGGCCACGTTTGAATACAAACCGTTTTGTAACAATTTCACAGACCAGTTTGATGCGTGGTTTACGCAAGAAATCATGTTCCAGGGGTGTGTTGTGAGGAGCAGCACCAGGTCACACACAGCACCAGCCCAGGTCCGGGTCAGGAGAGAATGCATGGGAGGAAAACACATCATCAGTATTACAGGAAAACACCCCTCGGGGCGGGTCAGCCCGTGTGGCACAACAGAGACAGGATCATTATGGGGTAAAACACACGTAAACGCAGGAGAGCATCTCATCAGAGCAATAACCCTTAAACTGAAGTCTATTAGAGATGAGACTTCTGCCACCTCCAGCCCTAAAGAGTAGCTCTATTTGTATTCTGAGTGAGCAGAAAGTCTGGTTATTGTTTTCAAAACTGTATTAACAGATAAAATAAAGGAAACCCTGAATTGCAGTTAAGGCCACACAAACCATGGAATAACAGCATGGGGGTTTTCATCTGCTGCATCAATGACCCATTGTACCAGGAGAATGCTAAAGGAGAGGAAACTCCATCTCCTACTTGCTGAGAATGTCCACCATCATTTTAACTGAGACTGACACCTCTTTCTAGAGCAGCCAGAAGTGACGGGTGCTCACGTGCCATACAATGGGTTATCTGTGATGCAGCTCAGTTCTAATTAAATGATTGTCATCTCTCCTCTTCCCCCTCCTGTCAAACAGCGGGTCAGCATTATGGCTCCACCACCTGAAGAAGTGTCCATTAAGGCCACCTACCCCAGGCTCTCTGCTTCCTGACATGAAGCACAGAACAAACCAAGCCTGTTCCCCAGTGTCTATTTTACTCTTTGATCCTCTCTGGAAGACAAAACAAGCAAAGGAGGTAAAGAAAAGAAGAAAAGGGAGATGAGCAGAGACCCAGCAGGGCTCACCTGGGAAACACACTGCGGGCAAGAGGAGAGAGGGAAAAAAGGCAGAAGAAAGTGAAGATACTCCAGACTGTCTGCCCTCCACCTCCTCCTGTTTTCCTTTAACCAGGATGGGGTGCAATGTTTCTTTGGCTTCCTTAAGTGTTTTACCCTTTGCACGGCTGCATTCACAGAATATTTTAATTTTACATTATTAATCGTGCTGATGTGAGGGAATATTCTTATCCCTGCTGTAGCCTGCTCTGCCCTCCCCGTCTCCACTGCTCAGTCTTTCTTTACTGTGGTGTTCAAATACTGGAGCCCCCAAGAGGTGCCTTTCTCCTGGTAGGTGCAGCCATAATGCTCGCTGGGAAGCGTTTACCGTGGGGAAGGGAAGCAGAGAGTAAGACAAACCATCACCTCAAACTCTCCCTCTTCAGAAGATTCACCGTGATGTTTCACGTTTGTTCACTGCCAACGAGAGCACCGTGTGAAGAGAAAGTAAAGAATCACCTGCATGTGCTTACGGAGCTTCGTCAAGGCCTCTTCTGCTTCCTGAAAGCTCTCATCCAAGCTTAAGGCTTTTTTATAGTAATTCTCAGCGTTTAGTAGCTTGTCTTCTTCTTCCAACCTAAAATTCAAGGGATAATTCATATACAGTTAAGCCACAAATTTTGATAGGTTTTTCTTATTTTTAGGACTACCTTTTGACCACTGCTCCCCTCCCAGACCCCACCCTCACCCTCGCCCACCCCAGGAAAGGAATAAAATGGTGTTTCTGACACACTACCTCCTCCTCCTCATTAGTAATAACACTCTCTGAAATTTCAATTTCACTTTCAAAACCACAATCTCTCTTCTTAACACAGGGTTTAAAACAGATCTATTCCCTGAACATTCAAAAGTAAACCCTTGTGTTACAGTGGTTAACTCATCTTCCAGTAAGAGCAACAGAATAGCAGTTTGTTACAAATAATTTCTTAAAAAAACCAACCAAACAAAAAACCCCCAAAAAATCACACACCATCAAACCTCCCAAAATACTTCTGAACATTTCCCAAGCCTTTCTGCAAGCCTGGGAACCCACCAGGGAAAGGATTAAACCTCAAATATTTTGCCAGGATTTTAACTGGGACAGAGGAGAAAGCATAAACCAACCACACAAGCGGGTGGATTTCCAAAACAATTTTTTAAAATAAAACCCCCCACATAGTTGGGAAGGAAAGATGCCATCCTGTGTCCTAATCACAATTGTATTAAAAATGAGAAAAATTGTTAACAACCAAAGAAAATGCCAAGCCCAGCACTTACTGCCCGCCTCTTTCCACCAGGGTCTGACAGAGGTATTTCCTGGCATTCCTATGGGAAGGACAGTTTTCTAAAGCAATTTCAAAGTCCCCTATGGCTTTGTTCAGGCTTCCTTTCGTCGCGTACCTGGAAGGACAGAGCAGTCACACCCATTTGAGGAAGGTTTGTCTTTCAGGAAGAAGAGAACCCGATGAAAGCAGCGGACTTACAGAGCTCCACGTGCCACCAAAGCTTCGACGTTCTGCGGGTCGATTTCCAGAGCCTTGTTGTACTCGTTCATGGCTTCCACGTGGCGCCCGACCTTGAAATAATCAACCCCAGCCTTCACGCTGCAAACACATATTTAGAAAATAACACACATGGTTAGTCTATCCAGACTCTAAACTGCCAATGACTCACAAATTATAGCTCCAAACAAGCGACAGGCAATAAAACCTGACCTTGTTCTCCTGTACTTAACGCTGGCATTTCAAATGAATGCAATATTGACATCATTCCACAACAATATATTGGTTTTTCCAAAATCTTAAGGCACTTAAGATTTTCCAAAATCTTAAGGAGAGCATTTCTGCAAACAGTGCTAGTCCATCCCGCTGGTTTTCAATTACAGAATGAATTGTTAAGCACTTTTCTGCACAAAATGTGTGATCTACGACCATTAAACTGGAAGAGGCTTAATCCCATCCAAAGCTAAAATCCAGCATTGGATCAAGGACAGGAGGTGAGATGGGAGCATGGAACCCACTGAAACCAGTTCACCTCAAACTGGAATGTTCTGAAGTTTTTTAATTCTTATTACCTGTTCTGCATTTGCCAAGAGATATCTTACTGGAAGAGAACTGGTATGAGCTGAATTTCAGAACTTTTCATTACAGACTTTAAGAATTAAAATTTATATTTAATTTAACATTATAAGCAACTTTTTCTGCAATTAATCAAAGTTGCAAAATACTATTGTTTTAAGAAATACACAGCTTCGTTAGCATAGATACCAGAAATTCTGAGACTTCACTCAAGTTTTATTTTCTTTTTTGAGCTGGTAGATTCAAGAGAAGCTTTTCTACAAAAAATTTACATTTTTAGGAGAAAAGTCTCTCTCACTTGTGGCCCCTCCACCCCGTAGCACACCCAGATACCCTGCATGGCCTGAAATCAACAGCACCTGCACAGAGCTGCTGCTCCAAACGCAGCCAGGGAAACACATTTAGCTTTTCAATGATACTTCTTAAATCTGCAGTTTAAGGCTTAATTAGCACAACAAGCAGTATCAGGGCACTCAACACAATTATTATAAATAATTATTATTTATTATATATATAATTATCGTATAATAATTACAAAATGGGAAATCGTGTAGTTGGTATTGCCACAAATCATCACCAGCCCAGCCCAGTATAAATATTCTAAGAAGTTCTGCCTTAAACCTGACACGTATTTTGGAACTGAATCTCCAGACCTTATCTGTCATGTCCCCACGTGGCAGTTGGGTTACTTTCAAGAAGATCTTCCTGGTGACATCACCACACACGCAGTGGAAAAACTGGTCCAATGTGTATTTTGTTTTAAGAAAGGTAACCTGGAACCCAATCTCCCCTGACAGTGAGCTCTGACAAGAACAAACACCACGTACCATTTCAAGGCCCAGGATGCAGATTGCTTTTTCCTCAGGGCAGGAGCAAAATCTTCTTCATTAAAATTTTTCCTTTAAGGAAAAAAAATAAACATCATGCTGGCCTCTGAGTCTACAAAATTAAACTTACACCATGCAATGCAGTTGAAATAAGCTGAAATATTATTTATACAATGCCTTACCTCAAGAACATTCTTTCATATTTCTAAAAGCAGTTTTTCCCAAATCATTCTAAGAGTGCTGAATGGAATTCCTGTATTTAACAAAACATACCATATTCCCACCTGCTTTGAGACCTAATAGGGCTCAGGCCCTATTTCAGTGGATTAGAATAATCTCCACAAAGCTATAGGATAATAACAATGTGAAAGTCACTTACATTTGAAGACTTCTCATCAAAGACGGTGGATTTGATTCACTTAGTCCCAGTTTTTCTGCTAAGTATTCAACCAAGGAGGGATTAGCAAATCCTGGGCAACGATGCAAAACCTCCTCAAACGTCTCCCCTGTGTTAGCAACCTCCAAGCTTCGCCTGGAAAGGAGCAGCAACGAGCACAAACACAACTTCAGGCACTGCCCTCCACTTCATGATGCTGATCTTCAGAACAGAAATGACTGCACTGACACTCAGGACTGCTCGCACACTGCTCTCCTTCACTGGGGTGTACTTTCCTGCTCTTTAGCAGCCCTCACGTCCTGTAGCCTCAGGGAGCTGCTGAAACCCCTTGTGGCACCCACCCAGGTATTGCCAGGACATACAAAATCATGGCAAAAAACAGAGATAGCTGCCTTCTTCTGTCTGCTCAGGGTAAGTCTAAAGTTTTAAGAGTCTCCCATGGTTTTTGTCCCTTGGGGGCTTTGTTGTTGGTTTTGTTTGTTTGCTCTTTTTGTTAGGACAGCCCCGCAGTGACAGATGCCTCACTCTGCTTTTTGTTTCCTTACATTTTGGGAAAGATGCTAAAAAGACCGACCACACCCGACGTATTTAAAACCAAGCAAGTTAAAGAGATGAACAGCAAAAAGCATATAATTGATATCCAATTACGTCATCATCATGTTTAAAGGACAATCTGTCCAAGATGCTCCCAGAGGCCCCAGGTACCCCCAGTGAGCAGAGCCAAAGAGCAAAATCTTACTTATAATGCAGCGGGAAGTCATCGGAAGTGATCACGCCCAGCTTTGTACTGGAAAGGTTGGGTGGCAGAGCTGAGCTGTAGAGAGACACCGTCAGCTTCTGGTGGTAACGATCAACGTCCTTGACTGCGGCTATAAAACCAGTAAAAGTTACCATAAAATTACAGAGACACCTCAAAGTGGAAGCAAACAGATTCGTGTCAACTTTCGTGGCTACGCACCTCGAATGAGGTCTCCGGTTTGATAATAAGATAAAGGATCCCCGTGGCTGCTTTGAGGAGGCACATCTCGCAAAGGACAGAGAGCCTGCAATAGTAGGAATATCATAAACAAAACCAAAAGTGGGGGTTTTTCCCACCCAAAATTACGCCAGATTAGTTTACTCTTAATGCATGTCAGAGCCGTGAGAGTTAAAAGCGTGGCTTAGTTCAAATACAAATGTACACATCTGTTAAGTGATGAACTTTTCAACTCGGAAGTAATAACTTTTAACAACAGGTCATAAAAAGAAGTATTTGCTGCCTCAGCAAAGCATCATAAACTGCCCACAAATCCAGGTACCACCCGCCAGCCCAAAGCTCAGCTTCAGCTTCACACAGAGCACTCCATTAAGAGCTGGAACAGGCAACTACTAGTATCAAGAATAGAATATGGATCAAAGCTCTGTCTTACAGTGATCTCTACGTCGGAAATCTCCCGTACGATCCCACTTCCCAGACAAATCAACACCATGAAGAAGCCGAACTCGCGAATGGAGGTAATCCTGCCGATCACGATGTCCCCCCGCTCGATGTCTCGGAAAAAAAACTCTCTCCTGTCCTCCCTGGGAACCTCCATGAACCGCTCCAGGGGAGGCAGAACGGCGTAGCACTCTGCAACACCCGAGAGAGCCGCGGTTACACTGCGACACAGCCACAGCCACAAACCACACCATCAGTTACAACGGGAAAACGTGTTAAAAACTGGCCAGCTCTGGAGTCCTCAGCACGGGAGGGACATGGACCTGTTGGAATGGGTCCAGCGGCGGCCACGAAGATGCTCAGAGGGATGGAGCACCTCTCCTATGAAGTCAGGCTGAGAGAGCTGGGGTTGTTCAGCCTGGAGAAGAGAAGGCTCTGGGGAGACCTTGGAGCAGCCTTCCAATATCTGAAGGGAGCTACAGGAGAGCTGGGGAGGGACTCTTTGTCAGGGAGTGCAGTGACAGGACAAGGGGGAACGGTTTTAAACTAGAAGAGGGGAGATTTAGATTAGATACCAGAAACAAATTATTTATTGTGAGGGTGGTGAGAGCCTGGCCCAGGTTGCCCAGAGAAGCTGTGGCTGCCCCATCCCTGGAGGGGTTCAAGGCCAGGCTGGATGGGGCTTGGAGCAACCTGGTCTGGTGGGAGGTGTCCCTGCCCAGGGCTGGGGGTGGCACTGGGGGGGCTTTAAGGTCCCTTCCCACCCAAACCATTCTGACTCGTTTGTGCCAGCAGGACGTTTATGAGCAGCCTACATAAAGTAATCGCAACGGTCCTCACCCTGTTTTTAAAAATACTACCGACTGCTAACCCCGCCGCGGCCTTACAGGGCCCAGCGGGGGCCACAGCGCGGCCCCTTCCCGGGGGGCCCGTTCCCCGCTCACCGTCATTCTCCTCGATGGTCTCGCAGGGCGGCCCGTTGGGCTTCCACGAGTGGGCGAAGAGGAGATCGGCCTTTTTGGCAATGAAGCGCTTTATCTTGTTGTCGAGGTCCGCGCCCTCTCTCCTAGGGGGAAGGAGAACCCGGTGAGAAACACCCCGCGGCCCCCTCACGGCCCGCTCGCTCCCCGCGACCCTCACCAGGCGTCCGGCGGGTGCGGGGCCCCGCGGGGCGGCTCCAGGGAGGCCCCCGGCGGCGGCAGCAGCCCTCGGAAGTCGGGGTTGTCGTGCTGCTCGGCGCGGAGCAGGGAGAGCAGCTCGGGGCCGTGGTAACTCAGCGCCTGGCGCAGCAGCTCCCGCTCCATCCCGCCGCCGCCACCGCCGCCGCCTCAACCGGAACCGGAACCGCCTTCCGGCCGGCCCGACGTCTGCGCCGCGCGGAAGGGGCGGGGGCAGGGGAGGGGACAGCGCCCCCTGGCGGGCGGGAGGACCGGGGGGGTTTGGCACTCAGGGGGATGGGGGCGACAGGGACCGTCTGCGGGAATAATCAAATAAAAAAAATAATCAAATAAAAACAATTCCGCAGCCGGCCCGCGGGCTGCGGGGCTTCTCGCCGGGCGGCCCCGCTCGGCCGTGTCGGGAGAGGGCGCTGCCATCCGCTGCCCTGTGCGCCAACGGCGGGGCTGGGGCCGTGAAATAACAGCGGGGAGGCGGCGGTGCCTCAGCAGCGCCTCGGTACCCGCGGACTCACCGAAACGGGGCTGGCTGGACGTTGGCCGAAGCGTGTTTGTGTCTCAGATTGTCCAGGTCTGAGGAAACGTGTCACTGCAGAAGTTCTCCGTTAGTTCTCGGAGTGGCACTAAAGGATGAGGAAGAGAAGGGGCCTGAGGGGCGAGAGTGGGGCCTGGGGGCGAGGGGACCCCTGCTCCCAGGGACAGACCCTCCATGGCCCCTCCATGCCCCTTGGACAGACCCCCCATGGCCCCTCAGGATCCTCCATGGCCCTCAGACAGGCCCACCATAGCCCCTCAGGGCCTTTCATGACCCCTCAGACACCCTCCATGGTCCCTTTTATGGCCCCTGGGACAGACCCCACCATGGCCCCTCAAATAGACTCCACCATGGCCCTTCCATGGCCCTTCAGGTCCTTCCATGGCCCCTCAGACAGACCCCACCATGGCCCTTCCATGGCCTCTCCATAGCTCCTCAGACAGACCCTCTGTGGCCCTTCCATGGCCCCTCAGACGGGCCCCTCCATGGCCTCTCCATAGCTCCTCAGACAGACCCTCCATGACCCTTGGGACAGGCCTCCCCTCAGGGACTCTGAGGGGGCAGGAAGCAGCCTGCGGGTGGGAAGGTTCTGGG